GAAGTTGTTTCCTATTTGCAGACTTTTCCCTAACTCTTCCTACCATGTATACGTATGCAACACCCCCTTGAAATGTACAAGACCCATCCAAAGAAAGTTGGAAAACTTACCAAAGGATATAAAAGAAGACCTGTGTAAATGAAAACAAACAAAAAAAATTCCAAGAACTTCCCTGGTGGTCCAGTGGCTAAGACACCACACTTCCAATGCAGGGGGCCCGGTTTGATCCCTGATCAGGGAACTAGACCTCTCATGCCATAACCAAAAGAGTTCCCATGATGCAACTGAAGATCCTGTGTGCCACAACTAAGACCTGGTACGCCAGATCAATTAATTAAAATAAATTTTTAAAAAATCTCATGTTCCTGGTGGGAAGACTTGGTATTGCAAAAATACCATTTTTCCCCCAAATAGTCTCTGGACTGAGTATAATTTGCTTCCATATCCAGAAAGTAATTATAGGGAAATGTTATTCTAAAAAAATATGCCAGGAGAGTCAAAACACTTCTGAAAAAGGATGGTTGCGGATGGAGTGGCCTCATTCTGTCCATAGCAAGATGTCTAGAAAAATGGCTTATTAAATCACAAATCAGTAAGGGACTACCAACAAATGTGGAAAATGGGTTATCCATCCAGAAATTAATAAAGCTGAATCCTTACCTTATGCCATACTTAAAAATCTAAACATTAAAAAAGAAGCTAAGAAAGTCCTAAAACTATAGAAGAATAAAGGTACTTTTTATAATATTAGACTGGGGAAAATGGGAAATTATAAAGGAAAAAATGGACAGATTTTACTGTACAAAAAATAAGAATTTCTCAATGGGTAAAAAAGCACCATAAGCAAGGTTTAAAGGCCAATTGAAAAACAAAAGCAAAAAGAAAGGTCAACTCATACTGAGCAAAAAATGAACAAATACAAAAACACCCCACATAGCAACACACAGGATTAAAACCTTAACTAACAGAGAGTATCAACAGAGCAATAAGAAAAAAGACAAGCAACCAGGAGAAGGTTGGGCAGAGATGTGAACAGGCAATTCACAGAAAAAGAAATACAAATAGTGAATAAGTGTGTTCCACTGCATTAGTGATCAGAGAAATACAATTTAAAACAATTAGATACTGTTTTTCACCCACTGGACAAGCGGAAATTAGACTAATTATCCCCAGTTTCGGCCTGCATAATGGGAATATAAATAAGTCCAACATTTTAAAAGAGCGCATAGCAAGATCCAGCCAAATTGTAGTTATGCATGTTCTTCAGCTCTGTGGTTCCACTCTGTATATTGTTCTGTTCTACCATACAAAAATAGCCACCCAGGCATCCCCAGATGTGCACTGCAATATTCTGTGTAATATCAAAGAAGTGAAGACAATAGCTGTATCTAACAATGGTTAAAGCATGGTGCAGCATATTTTAGAATACACTTGTGGCTGTTAAAAAAGAATGGAGTGGATCTCTCTGTAATGATATGGAAGTATACGTTTGATATATTAAGAGAAAGCAAGTTTCAGTGCAATGAGTACAGCATGATCCCATTTCACTCTTTTATTTCAAGTCTTTGTATGCAGGAAAAGAGTTGGAAGGGCATGCACACAGGCTGTTGACAGTGGGGGCAGGGAGAGGAGGTCTTTATATATATATATATATATATATATATGCATATATGTGGGGCTTCCCTTGTGGCTCAGCTGGTAAAGAATCCACCTGCAATGCAGGAGACCGGAGTTTGATTCCTGGGTTGGGAAGATCCCCTGGAGAAGGGAAAGGCTACCCACTCCAGTATTCTGGCCTGGGGAATTCCATGGACTATATAGTCCCTGGGGTTGCAAAGAGTCGGACACATCTGAGCAACTTTCACAACAACAACAATGCACACACACACACACACACACACACTTTCATGTCGCTTACACTTTTATGATGAGCAAATAATGCTTTTAGAATATATCTTGTTTTAAGGTATCTTGACCTGAAAAAGGAGTCTGAGTTACAGCCATGGCTCCCCTCACTTAGCTGAAAATCATAGTGAGGGACTTACCCTTCTTTGACTTTAGTCACTTTCTCTGTTTAAAGATAAATAAGTAAAATTTTAAACTTTTCCATATTTTTCAAGTGTTACGGTGGGTGTGGCTCCCTTATATTCAAACAAATGAATGAGCCTGTGTTTTCCTTCCTTAATACAGGAGTTGCACTAGATCTCTAAAGATCCTTCCAGTTCTTACATCTAAGAATCTCTGATCTCAGATTTTCTTGGATTTTGAAATTTTAAAAAAAAATGGAAGGGGGGACTTCCCTGGTGGTCCAGTGGTTAGGACTCCATGCTTCCAATGCAGGGGGCCCGGGGTTTGATCCCTGGTCAGGGCACTAAGCTCCCACATGCCATATGGCCTGGCCAAAAAATAAAAACTTAAAAAAAAAGCTAGACCTGATATCATGGTTCTCGGTGGGAACCCATGCAAGCATACCTTCAGCCACTGCAGGTTCTGGAGGCTCTTTGCTATTTCTTTTAGTTGTAGAAACCTCTGCTCCTGGGGCTTGCCTCTTGGGAGGAGGGGCAGACCCTGCAGGATGGAGGCCTGTCCGGGGCCAGCAGGGCTGCTGGGTTTACTCTGGGCCACAGAGAAGAGAAGCTATTTTTGTTGTGGGGGCTGAATGGTTGGCCTCTGGCCAAGAGCGCGTGCTTGCTGGTGTGGTCGATGCATCTTGCCTACTGAGGCCATTTCTGCCACTGCTTCCAGAAAATACTTGAGAGCACATTCGTCCTGGGCCAGGAGCTTAAACCTGAGATGAGTGTACAGAGATGTTCTTTTTTGAGTGTCCTTTTTTGTTGTCCTTCCCCACTCTGGCCTTTAGAAGGGCAGCAGTAGACCAGAGAGACGTGGGAAAGACTTTCCGGAGCTGTGCTCCTTGACAGAGGCCCTCCTCCTCACGGCAGCTGTGGAGAACTCGGTTCTGATCTGGGCTTTCTTGTCCTTATTGAGGCCGAGCGAGTGGCCCTTGCCTCCATCAGTCTGCTGAGGTTGCTCCATGCTGCAGTTCATCTCACCTACTGGTCAAATCTCTCTGTTTTTAATATGAGGTTGGTTTCTATTCAGTCACTGAGTCATGTCCAACTCCTTGAGACCCCATGGATTGCAGCACGCCAGGCTTCCCTGTCATCACTATCTCCCCAAGTTTGCTCAAACTCACGTCCATTGAGTCAGTGATGCCATCCAACCATCTCATCCTCTGTCATGCCCTTCTCCTCCTGCCTTCAATCTTTCCCAGCATCAGGGTCTTTTCCAGTGAGCCAGCTCTTTGCCTCAGGTGGCCAAAGGGTTGGAGCTTCAGCTTCAGCATCAGTCCTTTCAATGAATATTCAGGGTTGATTTCCTTTAAGATTGACTGCTTTGATCTCCTTGCTGTCCAAGGGACTCTCAAGAGTCTTTTCCAGCATCAGTCCTAAAGCATCAATTCTTTGACACTCAGCTTTCTTTATGGTCCAACTCTCACATCTGTACATGACTACTAGAAAAACCATAGCTTTGATTATACAGACCTCTGACGGCAAAGTGATGTCTCTGCTTTTTAATACTCTGTCTAGGTTTGTCACAGCAAGCATCTTTCCAACAAGCAAGCATCTTTTCATTTCATGGCTGCATCACCATCGCAGTTTTGGAGCCCAAGAAAATAAACTGTCACTGCTTCCATTTTTTCCCCCATCTATTTGCCATGAAGTAATGGGACCAGATGCCAAGATCTTAGGTTTTTGAATGTTGTCTTAAACCAGCTTTTTCAATCTCCTCTTTCACCTTCATCAAGAGGCTCTTTAGTTCCTCTTCGGTTTCTGCCATTAGGGTGGTATCATCTGCATATCTGAGGTTATTGATATTTCTCCCAGCAGTATTGTTTCCAGCTTATGATTCATCCAGCCTGGCATTTCACATGATGTACTCTGCATGCATAATATTAGGTTATTTCTTTTTTTTTCTTAGATTTATTTATTTAGTTTTGGTTGCACTGGGCCTCTGTTGCTGTGCACAGACTTTCTCTAGTTGCCGTAAGCGGGGGCTACTCTTTGTTGTGGTATGTGAGCTTCTCATTGAAGTGGCTTCTCTTGTTGTGGAGCACGGGCTTTAGTTGCTCCGTGGCATGTGGGATCTTCCCAGACCAAGGATTGAACCCACATCCCCTGCATTCGCAGGTGAATTCTTAACCACTAGACCACCAGGAAAGCCCCCAAATCTTTTTACAGTCCAGCTTGGGAATGGTGTAATTCTTGGTATAGGGCTCAAGCTGGGCCTGGCGGGTACCTGGATCCATATCCAGCCAGCTTCCTCAGGTAAACCCAGTGTCCCATGTCAGCCTCTGACAAGAAGGCTATGTGTTCATTTGTATACATAATACTGTAGGTAGAGCTCCTAGAGTTACGTGGCTTAGTGGCCCCAGGCTGGAAGCGTGGTACCACCTGAGACCCCCACGTAGACCATGACTTCCTCACCAGCATCGAGCTGTCATGTGACAAGCATGCAGGGCGCCTCTTGGGGACTGGGCTCTAAGTCTGCATCCCTCCTGTGCCCGCTGACACCTGTGGTCCAGGAAAAGCATCTGGTGCAGGCAGCTCGAGGTTAATTCTGTTGGTCATCGTGGATACATCCTTTAACCGATGTCCTTAGCTACTTTCTTTTTTCTTTTAAATTTCATTTCTTAAAAATAAAAAAAAATAAAAAAATAAAAAAATAAATTTCATTTCTTTCTTGATTTGCCTGCATTGGGTTTTCGTTGTGGCATGCGGGGTCTTCTTTGCAGTGAGCAGGCTTAGTTGCATTGTGGCACATGGGATCTTAGTTTCCTGACCAGGGATTGAACCTGCATCCCCTGCATTGGAAGGCAGGGGATTCTTAACCACTGAACCACCAGGGAAGTTCCTTTAGTTACATTCTTGATTCCAGACCTTCTGGGGCCCTCCTCTTCATCCATTTCTCATCTGGAGGGATTTTGTTTTTCCTTTCAGTTGCAGAGCTATTTTGCTGCCTGTGAAGATGAGACCCCTGCCATCCGCAACCACGACAAAGTCCTGCAGCGTCTGTGTGAGCACCTGGACCACGCTCTGCTCTACGGGTAAGGGGACAGCAGTTTCTGGAGAGGACTATGCAGCTGTACAGGGCAGAACCAAGGCCATGAGCAGCCTCCAGAGGGAAGTCCCTAGCCTTGTCTGCCGTTTATTTTTTCTTTCCTGGCAGAAAGAAATTGGTCTCACTCAAGGGGGCTGCAGACTGTCTAAGGTTGTCCCAGTAATCCATCTCTGAGCAGGCATGAATGATGGGGGAAGGGATTAGCCACAGATGAAATGATGGTGTGAAGGCCTGCTGGTGGAGGAGGAGGAGGAAGCCTGTGGGTGCCCTGGGAATCCCAGCTCTCAGCCTTGCACTTCCTGCTGACACAGAGGCTGGTGGGCCCGCCGACCACAGCGTCCCAGGGTGGCCCCATCCAGGTCACAGCAGCTCCTGTCCTACTTTCTCAGGCTGCAGGACCTCTCATCTGGCTACTGGGTGCTCGTGGTTCACTTCACCCGGAGAGAGGCCGTCAAGCACATCGAGGTGCTGCAGCACGTGGCCACCAACCTGGGGCGCAGTGAGTAGAGCCAGGCTGACTCGGGGAAGCTCCGCCCTCCCTGCAGGCAGCCTGGGACTCAGGTCAACCTGGGAGGCCAAGTGCCTCGTGGTGTCCAGTGGCGGAGGGCTGTTAAAAAGGCCAGCGCTCTCCCCAAGGCCTCGCTTCTCCCCAGCACATGACATCTGGCTGCAGCCTCGTGGCTGTGGAGAAGATGCTGAAGAGAGCTGGGCTCCTTCTGAATCCCAGCCTGAACATGAGTGAGGGGTCTTCGCCTCTCTCCCTGAGCTATGATCAGTGTCAGCTACAGGGTCAGTGCAGCATCCTTGCATTTCTCAACCCATCTGGGGTTTGCAGTCTGCCCTGTCAATCTGAGTTTCCTGGTCAGTTACAGACTCGAGTCTGATGGGGAAGGTCAAGATTTCAGAGTGTGGCAGTCCCACAAGAGAGAAGGCTGTTGGGGTGCTTGCTCCCCTCCGCCACTCCTCCTCCCTCCCCTCCTTTCCAGGCCAAGGAAAGCTGGCACCTGCTGGACCTTCCTCCCACTTACTCCTGCCTTTCATTTGCAGGCCGGGCCTGGCTCTACCTGGCCCTCAACGAGAACTCCCTGGAGAGCTACCTGCGGCTGTTCCAGGAGAACCTGGGTCTCCTACACAAGTACTATGTCAAGTGAGTGTCCGGACGCTGGGTCTCACGCACGCAGCTCTTGTGTGCCCCTGAGCCTTGTCCCAGCGTCTTATCCATGCACACACCACACTATGCCGACCTCCGCCCGCCAGGGGCCTAGCCTGAGTGGGCAGCCTGCAGACACACCAGTGATGGCCTGAAAGCCAATACAGCTTGCCTATGATGGCTCTGGCCAGGAGTCCAGGTTCCAGCTGTGCTCCATGAGTGGTCTGGTGCCTGATCATCCTTCGTCTGACCCTCCAGCCAGGCCTCAGACCTGACCAGAACACTCAGCCTTTGCTGGCATTGCTGCAAGAAGTGTTTAGAGCAGCTGCCGAGAGCTGCCACAGGCCCCATATCTGAAGACACAGGCAGTAAAGTGCCCGTGGCTCCAGACCCAGGCAAGAGTGCTGGAAGGGGCCAGGCAGAGGCCACATCAAGTTTGGGGATGGAGGGAGGATGTCACACGTCAAACTTCAACACAGCTGGCTTGTTGGGGAGGCAGGGCCATGCTGGGAACCAGACCCAGAGTCACCATGAATGACCCCGTCCCATGCCCCGCAGGAATGCCCTGGTCTGCAGCCATGACCACCTGACCCTCTTCCTGACCTTGGTATCCGGGCTGGAGTTCATTCGGTTTGACCTGGACCTGGTGAGACATCCCGGCTCTCACTGCTCATGGGGGCAGAGGGGTGGCCAGGGTGGGTGAGGTCCCGCCCAGGGAGCCTGATGGGTGAGGCTGAGCCTGAGCATCGTCCTGTTTGTTCAGGTGAGGGAACGGCTCAGGGTCTGCCCAAGGGAATTGAGGTGACTCTCTTGGCCAGAATTCCTGGTTTGGGTGGCTCCTTCCTGTCTCTCTGTCCCAACTTGGAGAAAAACCACATCACCTAGAGTATTTTAGCACTTAATACTCCTTCATGTTCAGAACATGAATCTTTGAGAAAGTCAAGGCAGATTCGCCCTTGTGCCTCCTGGGATCCTGGAAGCCTCTCAGCCTCCTGCTTCTCAGCCTCCCTCCTGGTCACGGTCACGGTCACGGTCACGCACTAGAGCCAGTGCAGTGCGGCCCAGGAGCTTCAGAGGCACCTCTGCAGCCTCGTCAAGATGCAAAAAACTGCCCCCTCCTAATCGGGCCACCAGCCTAGACCCAGGCTCCAATAGCACAGACCTAAAAAGTAGTAGAAACTGGAGAAAATGAGCACAAGAAGTTACGGAGGGTCAGGAGGCCTAGCGGGCACTGTCATCCCTGGGCCCCGAGCCCACAGCCTTGTGGGCCACAGCCATTCACAGTCCTCCTCCCAGCAGTTTATTTCTGGGTTTAGTACCTTAAGCACATTGATTTCCAAAGAAAAACCGGCCTGGGAGAGTGTGAGGCAGGTCCAAGGAAGGCCATGTATTCAGGCCCACTGTGGCCTGCTCTTCCCCTCTCCCCAGGATGCCCCCTATTTAGACCTGGCCCCCTACATGCCCGACTACTACAAGCCCCAGTACCTACTGGACTTTGAAGACCGCCTCCCCAGCTCGGTCCACGGCTCAGACAGCCTCTCCCTCAACTCCTTCAACTCCGTCACCTCCACCACCCTGGAGTGGGACGACAGCGCCATCGCCCCATCTAGTGAGGGTGAGTGCCAGGGCGGGAAGGGGCCGGCCTCTGTTGCAAACGGATTCTAAGCCGCGTAAGCCTGGCCAGGGGGCATCTTTCTTGGCTGGTCCAGTGGTGGAAATTCAGAGTTAAACCAGACCAGTCACTTCCCGGCTCTTCTCTTTCTCAATGTCTCAGTGGTGGCTCAGAAACTGATTTGGGGGATCAGAAGCCACGATGAGATCTTATGAATGCTAGACCCCTTTTCAGAAGGCTGTAAACATGCACCAGGGCAGTTCTCTGTGGTCAGGAGGATTAGGAAGGCAACCTGGAAACTTCCTGACATTGCAGGGGTGAGCACCGCCAACTTTGTGGGGGTGGTCCTACCCTCAATTCTAGGTAGAAATGGCTAAGCAGCCCCTGGAAGGAGGAGTGAGAACCCAATGGGTCTCAAAGTTTAGAGGCAGACGCCCCCATTTCCCCTGGTCCATCGATTTCTGAGTCCCTCCTGTCCTTGACAGCGTGTCAGAGGCAATCACACACATGGCAGCAAAACCAAACAAGAACATCCTCACGTCTGTAGTCATTTGTTGTCTTAGTCCAATGGCTGGTTGGAACAGCCTGCTTTCTTCCAAACCTTTGGCCTCTGTGTTGATTTGTACAACTGGCTGTTTCCCCACCGTTTCCCCACATGGGAAATCAGAGCCATTTATGTACTGCACCCCACCTCATCTCCAGCGAAGGGGCTCCAAGCACCAATTCAGCCCCAAGGGCACCCAGAATTTCATCAACATTGAGACCTTGACCTTCTTTGTTTCTGCCTGTGGTGTGATCCTCTCCCAGGGAGGGCAGTTACTTTCAGTCTGGTGTTAGCTAGATTTGTATTGCTCTCATAGGAGCAGGAGATAGCAGCTCAGTCTCCTTGGGGTGGGCTCAGAAAAGTCGGCGGGACAGGCCTCAAGGGAGCAGACAGACTGCCCAGTGACGGAGGTGTCCCTTGAACCCACCTCATTTTAGCTGCTGGGTTTGGCAGGAAGGAGAGCAAGGGGTAGGAAAGGAGGTTAGGTGCAGGGGAGCCGTGTTCTTCCGGTCTTAGAATGGATTGCCCGCAGGTCTTCCTAGGGGTCAGAGGTTACTGGCCCAGTGCCCGAACTGAGAAGCAGCTGGGATCCTTGTAAGTTCCCCTGAGGTGGTCAGAGAAAATATGGAAAGTTGAATTTTTCCTCTCTTGTGTTCTCCCTATGTCTCCCACCCTGTTGCCCCCCACCCTCCCTGTCCTGCCAAACTACCTGTGTTTCTAATCTTCAGTTTTGTCCCTCGTTTTTGTAGATTATGATTTTGGAGATGTGTTTCCAGCAGTGCCGTCTGTACCCAGCACAGACTGGGAAGGTGGGACAGAGTCTGCTGTTACCCTGTTTTCCTGTTTTGCAACCTTTCCATACCGAGCTTGCTGCATGATTCAGAATCAGCTTGTTATTTACGATAATGTCAATGATCGTAATAAAGCCAAGTCTGGTGTTCTGACAGATGGAATTCTGCAGTAGAACTTGACCTTGGGGCCTAGGCCAACCCCTTCTCCCAGTGCAAGATTCTTCCCTTTATGCCGTGGCCTTGAGTCGCTGAGTGTGTTTTGGGGACGCACGGATCACCCATCCCGATTCCAGCGCCAGTCATGCACCAGACGTGTAGAGGGGACTGTCAGCTGTGGGCCCCAGTGGGGAGACTGTTGGGGAAAACACTGCCTTTGAACATGGGGGTTGCGAGCTCCTTTAGGTCAGACACAGTTCTGTGTTATAGACATCAGGAGGCAGTGCAGACGGCTTGATCCACTTCTTAACGGCTTCCTCGTGGGTGTTTTTGGAGGAGATTGAGGTCTGAATGAGGGAAATTGCCCTAGCACGGCTGAAACATCCTCTTTGAAATTTTAAGGTCAACTAATGTGAAATCTGTCAGGCACTTCCCTGTTGGCCCACTGGTTGAGACTTTGAACTGCCAATGCAGGGGGTGTGGGCTTGATCCCTGGTCAGGGAACTAAGATCCCAAATTTCATGCAGCGTGGCCATAAAGATTAAAAAAAAGAAAAGAAAAGAAATCTGTTCACCCTTCCACCCTGTCCACTAGGTGGCAGCAATACTTAGGCCTTTTTCTACTGGTGACGCCGCTCCTGGGCTTGAGAACAGCCCTGAAGCTATTCTTGGGATTCCCGTGACTACTCCAAGCAGAGGACGTGTTTCTGAGAAGGTTAATCCTTCCTCCTTAAAGCTGAGGCCAAAACCAGAGCCCCTCTTAATAAACAGCCCTGCCCTGAGGGCCACTTCTGCCCAGGATGGGTGCGGGGTCAGCCTCTGGAGGAGGTGGTGCCAGCTGGTCACCCTGAGCCGAGGGACAGCGGTTCTGCTCAGAGCTGGCCCCTGCGTTGTTACAGCCGTCATCTGAGTCACAGATGACGGAGGCTCTTTTCCCAAGTAATGTGAATGTGCAGTAGCTTTGGTTTGAAGGAAATAAGATATGGCTTTGAGAAAAATAAATGTATGTCATCTGGCCAAGAGAGTAGCATTGAGGAGTCCCCCATTTTAAGTTGAGATTAGCTTGAAATCCAGAATTCCATCATAACGTCATTTGTCCTTTCTGCCTCTCTTCTTGCAGCTCCCATGCTGGGCACTGATCCCCGCCCCCCCAGGTCTAACAACTAACCCCCCTGACCCAGCTACTCTCCTGTTGCAGTCACTTGGCAAGCAGGGCCTGACCCTCCTCTGCAGCCCTCTAGAGCCCCTTGCGGCCTGAGAACTAACACCCCAGTCGCACTGCTTGCTCAGGCTGGGCTGGGCTCCGGGGTGGGGTGAGGTTGTCCCTGTAGTGACCACCCGCTTTCCTGGTTCCTGGAGCGCTGACGATGCCCTGAGCCGGTTTGGCAGCTCCCCTGAAGCGGCTCTGTCTTCTCACACCTGGAGAAGAGCAGGATTTGGAGGCAGCTCCAGGCCCTGGGGTGGGGACTGGGGAGGCCTTTCCAAGAGCCCTGGCTTATGTACAGAACTGGTGGGTATCCCAGCCCGGACCCCACCACGCCCAATGATCTGCTTGCTCCCCTCCTGGGACCCCTTCCCTGGGCGGCTGCACCTCTCGGGGTCGAACAGGAACACATGGACTTAGCAAGAGCCTCCTCTCAGACTGAAGGGCAGGCTTTTCTGCATCTGAGAAACAAGCTCTGGGGGTCCCTGGAGATTTGAAGAAAGGCTCCTATTTCACCCGTGTTTCTCTAGCAGAGCTGGCAGCTGCTCTTTACCCCCTCCTGCAGCCTTATATTAACAGACAGTGTACTTTTGATGCCATGCTGCATCAGCAGACAGCTGCCCCATGACTTCCCAGATCCACGAAGCAGGTTGGGCCCTTCCAGATGAGGCTGAGTGTCAGAAGCCTGTGCACCATGTCTCCTCTGGCAGATAAGGGCCAGCAAGATGTGCGCAGGCTGGGAAATGGGGCATAAACATCCTGTGTCCTTTGCCATCAACCGTCACCGTCACCCAAGCTATCCTGCCAGCCTGGGCGGCTTTCCATCTGCCACTGGATAAACACCCCTTATGCCTCCATGCTAACACTCCCTCCTCTCAGTGTCCCGTTCCAGGGACCTGGGATGGACAGTTGGGGGTGGGAGGACTGTTAAACCAGCTCCTCTCCAGAGGGCCTGTCTCCCTGGGGGAGAGTGCCCGGGGGGGGCCAGTAGGCAGGCTGAGGTTTGAATGAAATGAAGTTCTCAGCACCTGCCTCTCAGGGGAGAAGGGCCCACGAGGCATCTCTGCGAGGGCAGCGACTCTGCACACCTTTCTCCCCCCTCTGCCCTCTTCACTGTGCTCTAGGTCCTTCTTCCTGCCCTTCCCCCTGCTCCTCACCCTTGGACTCCCTGTCCTGGCCTCTCAGCGTCTGCAGCCCTCATTTTCTCTGATCCTGGTTCTCTTCTCTCCTCCTTTGTCCCTCTGTATCTGCCACCGTGGGGGCCCCTTCAGAGGACTTTGGATGTCTCAGTCCTGTCAAGGGTGTGTTGCGCTAATGGAGGCACATGTTAGCCTGCAAGACGTGTGGCCCATCTTCTGAGCCATCAAGGTCACCACCCCCACAGGGCTTAAACCTGGAGCCTGCTTAACCTTGAGGCTTTTGACTCAAACTCATCCAAATTGTTGAGAGCTCTGGGGGACCCAGAGGGGGTGATGATGGCGTTCCTCCAAGTTGCTCTTGAAGCACAAATCCCACGTCCTGCTGGCGGGAGGCTTCCACTCCTAAAACAGGGCCACCCCGGTCAGAATGCCCTGGGAAGAACTCGCCTGCCTCCCTCCCGAGATAAGGCATGCTTTGGGGGCCTGGGGTCCCCACCTGATGTCTGAAGGGCTGTCTCATGTTTCCTGTTCTCCCAGACGGAGACCTCACAGACACTGTCAGCGGCCCCCGCTCCACCACCTCAGACCCAACCAGCAGCAAGGCTTCCACCAAGAGTCCCACCCAGCGCCACAACCCCTTCAATGAGGACCAGGCCGAGACTGTATCCTCCTCCGACACCACCCCTGTACACACAAGCTCTCAGGAGAAGGGGGAGTCCCACACCCCGGACCTACCGGACACCTGCACAGAGCTCGAGGTCATCAGGTCAGCGGGGAGGGGGCCCGAGAAGCTGGGTGAATGTCCTGTGTCCCTGCTGTCCACTTCTAGCATCACTGTTTAGTCCACACAGACTAGGACCGACCCCCTTTCACCCCGAGGATATTTAGCCCTCTTTCTGGAGACCAGGTACCCCTCCCCTGTTCAGTAGTTCTCTGATCAAGAGGAAAAAGAGGGCCCGAGGCTAGAAGATGGGTGGCAAGGCAACAACACGGATGGCTTCACGGGCCAGGCCCAGGCTGCCAGGGGCATTTGTCCGGTCCGTCCAGAAAGTACCTTCAGCCTGGACTTCTTTCCAAGGGAGTTCTTGGACATTAATGTACAAGTTCTGAGATTTGTACCAATTCTAGTTGAGCATGGCTCACTGAAAGAAGAGCATCACCATCACATTGACGGGGATGTAGAAGGAAGGAGGAGGCGGATGATAAGGTTGGAAACTCTTGGCCAAGAGCCTCCTTGGCTCCCTGACCTCCTCTGGCTCCTGCTCTTGAGTCTCTCCACCTGAATAAGGGGCTTCCTGGCCCAAGGCGGGGGGAGTTCCTCCCCAGTGATTGGAGCCAGGAGTCCCACTCCCAAAGGCTGGTTCAAATCCAGAGCAGCTAGAGAGGTTCAGACCTAGAGTTGCTTAGCCAGGTCCACTCCAGCCAACTCAGAACCACGGAGCCAGGAATTTGAGCTCAAAAGATTTTGAGTCTTTTGAATTATCCATTACAATACCTAATGGAAAGTGAAGTCAGCTCAGGGTCCACTGCCCGCCTCCTGCGGGGAGGCTGAGTAGAGGGGTCACTGGTCTGACTAGCCGTGGCCCGTTTCCATTCCTGAGAGCACAGCTAGCCCAGTGCGCCACCAGCTAGAACTCACAGGACCCGCTCAAGGGTTCCCCTGTGCCTTCCTCGTGCTGGCCCTGCCTCTGCCTCTGAGCCGCTGTCGGCCTCTGGCCCAGGGTCCATGCCTAGTGCTGCCTGGGACTCCTGAAGCTCTGACTCCCTGAGCTCCTTGCCCAGGCTCACCTGCTGTGACCCAGCCCACCTCGCTGCCCTCAGGACCGGTTGCTCAGCTTTAAACCTCTCTCAATCACTACCATCCAGGGTCACCAAGAAGAAGAAAACAGGCAAGAAGAAGAAGCCCAGATCAGATGAGGAAGCCAGTCCACTCCACCCAGCCTCCACCCAGCACACGTGTGCCCGACAGGGCAATGGCAACACCGTGGGCAGCAGCCCAGGCCCTGGGCAGGGCTCCCCAGACACCACCCTGGCCTCCCTGCCGCAGGAGGGAGAGGGGCCTGGCAGCACAGTGGAGGGCGGCGGGCGCTCAGAGCCCGGCCAGGTGGGCCTGCTTATCCCCGAGATGAAGGACACCTCCATGGAGCGCGTGGGGCAGCCCCTGAGTAAGGTCATCGACCAGCTCAACGGGCAGCTGGACCCCGCCACCTGGCGCCCCCACGTCGAGCCCCCGGACCAGTCCTTTCGGACCGGCTCTCCCGGGGATGCCCCGGAGAGGCCGCCATTTTGCGACTTTAGTGAGGGGCTTCCAGCCCCAATGGACTTCTACCGCTTTACCATCGAGAGTCCAAGTACTGTTACATCAGGTGGCGGCCACCATGACCCTGCAGGGCCTGGCCAACCGCTGCATGTTCCTGGTAGCCCTGCGGCTGCTGGCCAAGAAGAGGCGGGGGGAGGAGGAGGACCAGGACAGACACCTCGGCCCTTAGAGGACACCCCGGGGGAGGCGCAGAAGCCAGAGGCCCAGGAACTGGACACCCAACTGCCCCAGGTCGGTGAGGGGCTGGAGCCAGAGCCTGGGACCCAGGAGGCTCTTTGCAGACTCAAGGGAGACCAGCCCAGCCCCTGTCTGAGCAGCGCCGAGGACTCTGGGGTGGAGGAGGGCCAGGGGAGCCCTTCTGAGATGACCCACTCGGCAGAGTTCAGGTGAGCCAGTCTGTCTGTGCCACACGTGTGAGCCACGCCTCTCCTCAATCAGGGCACGCTGGGCGTCTGCCTTCCACATAGGCCGAGCACAGCTCCTGGAAGACCTAGCTTGGGCTGGGTGGTAGGAAGGGGTGTGGCCCTCTGGTGTCGCCTCACCTGCGTGCGCACATCGTCTCCGTGCGCCTGTGTGGCCTCTCCCTGGCCCTGCTCTCGCTGACCCCTCGTCCTCCCCACACTTGTCCTCCTCACAGAGTAGACAACAATCACCTGCTCCTGCTGATGATCCATGTGTTTCGAGAAAACGAAGAGCAGCTCTTCAGAGTAAGTCCCGGGATCCCAAGAATGAGCAAGAGCCACACAGGGAGGGCACGGCTGAACGGGCCCCACGCCTGCTCAGAAAGGGGCACGGGCTGCCCGGGGCGGGGTGTGGGCCTCAGGGTCTGACATCTCTGCTCCGGCCCCTCAGATGATCCGGATGAGCACCGGGCACATGGAGGGCAACCTGCAGCTGCTGTACGTGCTGCTCACAGACTGCTATGTCTACCTGCTCCGGAAAGGTGCCTGCCGCCCCGGCCTGGGCCAGGGCAGTGGAAGATGAGACTGACTGCTTCCTCGTTCCCTGCAGCCTCCACCCCCCACCAAAACCCCCTTGCCTCCCACCCCCCATCACGTGGTGATGAACACGCATAGCTAGGAAGGGGCTGACAGTATCCCAAGACGGGAGCCTGGGGGCCCCTCCAGGAGTACCCCATGTCATTCTCCTACTCCATCATTTCAGATCGCAGGGCGAGGAAAGGTCTTAGGAAATGGGGCGGGGGGAGGGCAGAGAGGCCCCCAGGGGTAACAAGCATTGGGGCTGTCTCTCTCAGGGGCCACAGAGAAGCCATACTTGGTGGAAGAGGCTGTTTCTTACAATGAGCTCGACTACGTGTCGGTGAGTTCAGGCTCCGCGGCTGGTGTGTGCTGTCTCTAGGGCTCAGAGCTGCAGAGCAAGGCCAACCCCTGGCCTCAGTCCCGGGGTGGATGCCAGCCCTCATCTACCCCCGCGATGCCGGGGATAAGAACCAAGCCCAAGGGTCCCTCTTCCTCCTCTGTACGGCCGACCATCCCTTCCCACTTCATGGTGACCCCAGTCTGTGTTTCTTCCCTCCCCAGCCCGCCCTCTATCTGGCCATGGCTGCCCCTTTGGCAGCCGCGGCCAAGCTCCGTGTGCATGTGAGGGTGTGGTTTCCGGCAGGTGGGCCTCGACCAGCAGACGGTGAAGCTGGTGTGCACCAACCGCAGGAAGCAGTTTCTGCTGGACGCGGCGGACGTGGCCCTGGCCGAGTGAGTGACACACCCCTTCCGCCGGCTGGAGACAGCGCGTGCGCTACTGGCCTGGCCACACCCCTGGGGGTGGAGGGTGGGACGTGGGCTACGAAGAAGTAGAAAGCAGAGACGAGTTCCGTTTGGAGCCTGCGGTCCGGGCAGAGAAGCAGGGGGGTGACAGACACAGTGACCGACTGGTGACCTCAAACCCTCAGTGGCCCCCAGAGAGGAAAAGAGGGCTGGCAGAGTCACCCCCACAGGAGAGAAAGCACAGCCCCTGCTTCAGGGCCATGGGGCCACTCGTGCCCCACGTGCTTCCGTGCGAAAACTGTCTTTCCTGAGGTCGGGTCTTCATCCGAGTCTTGCTGCATCACCTCGTCCGGGCTTCCCTTGTGGTCAAGACCCAAGGCCCCTTGGCCATCGTGAAGGGTTAGGTTTTCCAGGCCACCGTTTGATGACCATGGACTGCTGCCACCTCATGGCCCCACCCGCCACCTTAGCTCTGGTTCCAGGCGGGTCCCTCCCCTCAAACCCTGTGACCCCTTCAGGTCAGACGTTCTCAGGACTAAGCCCAGTCCCTGTGAGGGGTGGGGGCCCCAGGCCTCTGACAGCAGACCCCATTCCCTGCACAGGTTCTTTTTGGCTTCTTTGAAGTCAGCCATGATCAAGGGCTGTCGGGAACCCCCCTACCCCAGCATCCTGACTGATGCCACCATGGAGAAGCTGGCTCTGGCCAAATTTGTGGCCCAGGAATCTAAGTGTGAGGTAAGAACCTGGGGAGGAGAGGCTGTTGTCCCCGAGATGCGAGCCCTGGTGTTAGGGTCACGAGGTGCAGACAGTGGTCTTTCCTGTTTCTCCATCATCTGCCTGCAGCAGGCTCTCCCCTCCTCCCCAGCCTAGCCACTTACCCAGTTGGGGTGTGTCCTCGCCCTGACACAGGCCATTCTTGCTTCTGACCCCGACCTCACCACTCCGTCCCCTGCCCCCTCCCTCCCCAGGCGACCGCTGTTACTGTGCGTTTCTATGGGCTTGTGCACTGGGAGGACCCCCAGGACGAGTTCCTGGGCCCCACCCCCTGCCACTGCTCACCCCCCGAGGGCACCATCACCAAAGAAGGCATGCTCCATTACAAGGCGGGCACCTCCTACCTGGGCAAGGAGCACTGGAAGACCTGCTTCGTGGTGCTCAGGTGAGAGCTCTGGCCCGGAGGTTGGGGTGGGGACAGCACCCTCCTTTCCACAGGGATCTTAGAACTTCTCTGTGGTGTCAGTCAGGTAGGGCCCAAGGAAGCCCAGGACATCTCAGGTGCAGACTAGGGCTGTCCCCAAGTCTGGGGGTACACGTTCCCTGCGGCACCTCTGCAGTTCTTCCACTCTCCCAGCTGCCCCGGCCTCCTTGGCCTCTGGGTTTCAAGCCCCAGCTTGCAAGGATCCCCAGGATGTAGGCTCTGCAGGCCCCCAGATCCCAGCCCAGACTCACCCCTGCCCCATTGTGCCCCTGCAGCAACGGGATCCTCTACCAGTATCCTGACCGCACCGACGTGACGCCTCTGCTCTCGGTGAACATGGGGTGAGTGTCCTGGGCAGTGGGGTTGCTGGGCAGGTATTGGGGCCTGTGTTGCTGCTGAAGGTCAAGGTCTAGCTGGGCTTGGGGCTTGGCTCAGCCCCACCCCCACTCAGTACCCTGGGGTCTGCTGAGCTCTGGGGGAACCTGGGGGAAGCAAAAGGAGCTCCCCACCTGGAAAGGATCCAGTCTGATGGGGAGGCAGTCCTTTCCCCTGGAAGCGCCTGACCTTAGGGGGAGATGAACACACATACACCTGCAGGGAGCATCAGGCCCACGAGGGTGTGCTGATTCTGAGAGGGTGGGGCTGAGAGCTGATTCTCCACCCCTCACCTGGCCCTGTTCAGTATGCAGAAGGACTTTGGTAATCCTGGAGATTAAAGGTGTTACACAGGAAAGAGGTGGGGGCGGGGTTGCCCAGCTGTGGGGTCTGGACAACCCTCTGGTGTCCTCTGGGGCAGCCCCAGGTCTGCAGGCCTCGACCAGCCCCAGGAGCTCCCCTGTGCCACCCCTGCCTCCTCGACCCGTCTCACCCTCCTCCTCTGGCCCAGGGGGGAGCAGTGCGGTGGCTGTCGGAGATCCAACACCACGGATCGGCCCCACGCCTTCCAGGTCATCCTTGCCGACCGGCCCTGCCTGGAGTTGAGCGCCGACAGCGAGGCTGAGATGGCTGACTGGATGCAGCACCTGTGCCAGGCCGTGTCCAAGGGGGTGAGCGCCTTCTCCCCTCCCCCTACCCCGGGCCCCCAGGGGCCCTTCCCTAAACCCAGACACATCATAGAGCAGCCTCCGAGGACCAAGACAGGACCTCCAAGGACCAGCCCAAGAGTCCACCCTGGAGCTTAGGGCCACCTGTGGCCTGACACTCCCACCATCACGAGGCCAGCCCCTGTACTCCTGAGGTGGGCAGAGTCTGCTTGACCTCTGGAGGACTGGGCAGAGGGGCTGGCTGGCCCCTGAAGCAGGGTGTCCTGGTGCAAACCAGCCCTGGAGAGCTCCAGCTTGCCCCTCCTTTCCCTCACCCATGTTCCCCAGGTCATCCCCCAGGGGGTAGCTCCCAGCCCCTGCATCCCTTGCTGCCTGGTAATCACCGATGACCGCCTCTTCACGTGCCATGAGGATTGCCAGACCAGCTTTTTCCGCTCCCTGGGTACTGCCAAGCTGGCTGACATCAGTGCTGTGTCCACTGAACCGGGCAAGGAGTACTGCCTCTTGGTGAGCTGGGTGAGGGGGGCAGGTGATGGAGGCAGGCCCTGCCACAGGAGTGCTGGGTCTGCTCACCTGGGGTCCCTGCTCTGCCCAGGAGTTTTCCCAGGACAGCGCACAGCCCCTCCCACCCTGGGTCATCTACCTGAGCTGCACACCTGAACTGGACCGATTCTTGTCTGCACTGAACTCGGGGTGGAAAGCCATCTACCAGGTACCCAGCTGCCAGAGCCATGTGGAAGGGAGCCCTTCCCTGGGGAAAGGAGCCCTGCACGGCACAGACCAAGGCAGGAGGCAGGTGCCCAGGGAAGCACTGAACTAGGAGCTCCAGGACAGACGTCTGTAGGACCAAAGGGACAGGATGCTAACTCCCTGGGAATCTGAGGCTAAAGCTGAGCATCGAGCCCAGGAAATGCCATTCTTGATCTCAGTCCCCATCAAAAAGCAGGAATTAGCAAAAAAAAAAAAAAAGCAGGAATTAAGTGCTTATGGTGGGGCTAGAGCTCTGTTCAGATGGTGGGGGCTTAGAGCTCAGAGCCAGGCTGAGGGGGGCCTCATCGAACTCCTGGACAGATCCTGGTATGAGCACATGCTATACTGCTCCTCAGAAGCTTTGGACCCACCTTGGGCAGAGCGCACTTCCACAGGGAGACTCCCAGGCACAGAGCCTGCCTCCTGGTGCCACCCCCAGCCCCCACCCCCAAGAGCTGGTGCACCCCTGGAAGGAGGAAGCTCAGGGAGCATCGCCCGGTGGGCTGGAGCCCTCCTTTCTCAGCATCGTGGACCTAGTTCCAGGGCAAGGTTACACCTGGTGCAGAGGAACCCCTGGGCTCCCTGAGCGCTCTTGGCTCAGCCCTCAGATTCCTGCCACGCCCCACACAGGTGGACCTCCCGCACAGGGCCATCCAGGAAGCCTCCAGGAAGAAGTTCGAGGATGCCCTGAGCCTCATCCACAGCTCCTGGCAGCGGAGCGACAGCCTGTGCCGGGGCAGAGCCTCCCGGGACCCCTGGTGCTGAGGCTGAGCCGGCTGGTGTCTCGGGCGGGGCAGGAGGGGGGCACGTGGGCGGCACACAGTCATCGCTGTGTCACCGAGCTACTCGGGGCTAGGCCCCCACCCGTGTTCCCGGGCAGCTGAACCACCAAGTGGGGCTTGAGACCCGGTCTCCCTCCCAGGGACCCAGAGTGGGTGCACCACACCCTGGCTTCCTGCCTGGCAGGGGGCACCTGGGAAGTGCTGGGGCAGAGGGTCCGAGCCCTATGGGCTCTGCAGACGCACGGCCTCCTCCCGGGGGTCGCTGCCTCAGTCCATGAGGGGGAATGGAAGGACTGGGAGGGCAGGAGCCCCTTCCTCCCCTGGGTCAGGGGCCCGGGCAGAGGCTTAGGCCGCCCTGGGGGCTCTGAGTGCCCGGCCATCCCTGTTCATGTCTGAACATTGACCCGGCTGGGAGGGGAGCTGGAACACCGAGGTCTAGAGCATGTCTCCTCCTCACTAACTCCATTCCCAAGCACACTCCTGCCTGCCTTCCACACTCCAGGGGTGATGGGGGTGCGGGGACCAGGCTGGCCCTCCTGGTTTCCAGGAGGCTCTGCATGTCCACGGCCCCCTCCCTGACTCCTTCCAACCTGGGTGCCTGTGGGATCCAGGAATCAGGTTGTGTCCTTCTGCCGAGAGCACGGTGGGGTGGGGAGGAGGGCTTGGAGAGGAGCAAAGCCCGCCAGCCTGTGATGGCTGCTTGGCTGGAGCCAGGTCCTTCCCAAGAGGGGCCCTCTGGGGGAGAGGGTCAGGTGGCCTGGGTTTTGTTTTTTAAAATAAAATAGACATGTTATATTGCCAAGACTTGTCACTGGCCCTTTTTGACCAGGGTGGAGGTGAGGGATCTCCGACTCCTCTCAGGCCCCTCAGCCTTCACTCCTCATTGATTCCACAAATGCTTTTCCTTGAGATGCTCTGGGCCCTCCCTGGCAACCACATCACTCTGTGAGGAGGAGTTCAGGCCCTGGGAGCTTCTGGGCCTGACCTTTGCCCTCCCTCCTGTTTCCTGCAGTGGCTGGGTGGGTGGGGCAACCACCAGCTCCAGTCCCAGGACTTGTCTGCACTCCCAGGGCAGGGCACTCCTCCCCTCCTCTCTGGCTGTGGGACCTGAGCACCCACCACTCGGGATAAACCCAGGAGAATCCAAGCTGTCCCCAGGACCTCTTGTTGGCTGCTACCCTGGGGCTGGCCAGAGGATGCCCAGCCTGCGCAGTCTGGGAGGAGCTCCTCAGCCCTTAAGTCCCTCAGCACGGTGGCCTCCAGGGCTTCAGGAGGAAAAGGGTGGACCGGTGGAAGAGGCAGGTGTGGAGGCCATGGAGGTGGCGTTCTGGGCAGGGTGGCCCTGCCTCTGGTTTTGATTGGAACTTGGTGATGCAGGGTGGCCCCAGCAGGAGAGGGGTCCCCTGGAGCAGAGGTTGAGATGGACAAGGTGGTGCTGGCTCCCACCTCTGCAGCCTGGCACCTGACAGTAGTGCCCAGGGATGGGAGGTTCCGTCTCACCAGACACAATGGGCCATTTCCACGCCTGGGCCTCTGCTCCAAGAACCACAACCCAGGAGCGGCTCCACCAGGAAGACAAGCAGAACTCGGAGGGCAAGACCTTACCAAGCAAGCAACCAAAGCCACAAAGTCACTCGGTGAGACACAGTGGCTCTTATTTTTCCATCTCCTACCCACCCAGGGCGATTGGGTGAAGTACTGTGCTAGGCGTTCTTTCAGTTCAGTTCATGTGTCTGACTCTGCGACCCGATGAACCGCAGCACGCCATACCTCCCTGTCCATCACCAACTCCCGGAGTCCACCCAAACCCATGTCTTATCGAGTTAGTGATGCCGTCCAACCATCTCATCCTCTGTCATCCCCTTCTCCTGTAAAGGTATTCTTTATACATCTACAATTCTTCAAGGAACTTCTGCAGTGGGTGTCCATATCCCCACCTTAAAAATGGAGAGACTGAAGCTCAAAGGAAGTACTTGCTTGGCTCACATGTAACAGTGGAGCCCTCTGCTGTCACTTGGCAGTGGGACCACAGGGCACAGGAGCCAGACCAGAAGGCCAGGCCAAGGCCGGGAAAGGGTGCATCACTCTGTGGCAGGGCTGGGAGGAGCAGTTGCTGAGATGTGGAGAGAAGGTCCCAAGCAGCTGCCTCTTGCCCAGGGCCCCGAGCTACGGCACTGGCCAAGCCAGAAGCAGGCACCAGCCCTTTGCCCCAGGGCCAAAGAGAAGGCTGGAGGGCCAGAGGAGCAGGAAGAGGCTTCTTGGTTGATCAGCACTCTCTGCTCGCCTCCAGTCTCCCTTGGGGCCCAGGTGACCTTTCCCCCAGATCCCAGGGTCCAGGCCCTCCCCTGCAGGGAGGTGTGGGGGATGGAGGCAGCTGGGATTGGTTTGGAGCTGGCAGGGGCGTGTCCTGGGCTCCAAGGAAGGAGCAGAGCAGGTGGACTCCCGAGATAGACCAGGAGCCGCCTGGCAGCCTGCGGCCTCTCTGACCCAGACCTCTGCCCTCCAAGACATGGCCCCAGGCTCCCTCGATCCCCAGCCCTGTGGCCTTGCGGGGGTGAAAACAGCCTAAGCACTGCCACTCCAGGGCCCGTGCCCACCCCCGCTGGCCCCTGGCCCTGACGCCATGGAGACAGTGCCCCCAGCTGTGGACCTGGTGCTGGGTGCTTCAGCCTGTTGCCTGGCCTGTGTCTTCACCAACCCCCTGGAGGTAGTGAAGACACGGCTGCAGCTTCAGGGGGAGCTGCAGGCACGGGGCACCTACCCTCGGCTCTACCGGGGCTTTGTGGCCTCCGTCGTCGCGGTGGCCCGTGCAGATGGGCTGTGCGGGCTGCAGAAGGGCCTGGCTGCCGGCCTCCTCTACCAGGGCCTCATGAACGGCGTCCGCTTCTACTGCTACAGCCTGGCGTGCCAGGCTGGCCTCAGCCAGCAGCCAGGAGGCACCGTGGTCGCAGGCGCTGTGGCAGGGGCATTGGGAGCCTTTGTGGGGAGCCCTGCTTACCTGGTGAGTGCCTTGTCTCCATCCGCCCCCTACCCTATGACCCAGCTCCATGGGGACTGCAGCCTCCTGGGCTGGCCTCTAAGGAGCAGGTAGGGTGGGGCAGGCTGGGTGGGGCAGCTCCCCAGAACATCCCCACCCAGGCTGCCTGGAATCTGCCCCTTGGTCCAGGGCACCAGGGCTTAGCCCTGATCCTCACTCCCCTGAGGGCCCCACCCCACCAGTCCTGAGCCAGGGTACCGGGTGGAGGGTGGCAGGAGGTCCTTTATCTTCCTGTACAAGTAAGAATAAGCCTCCCTCTAGTGAGGGCCCCCTGTCCGAGCCTGGATGTGTCATTGCTCTTGGTTCTCAAAACAGCTTTCTAAGGCTGAGCAGAAAGGTCGCGAGAAGGTGAAGTATCTTGTCCCAGGTCACACCCTGATGCAGATGCAGGCTGACTGCAGAGCCTCACCCTCAACCCTATTCCACACATCGGGAAGCGGCAGGTGCGGGCTCAGGGAGGTCTGGGTATCAGGGCCCAGCAAGGTGTGCCCTCAACACACACAGCTCCTCCAGGCTCTCCCAAGTTTCCATCCCCAGGCCCTGTGGCACCTCTGCCCTCACAGGTCAAAACGCAGCTGCAGGCCCAGACGGTGGCCGCGATGGCCGTGGGGCACCAACACCATCACCAGGTAGGGACCGCCTCTCCTCAGAGCTTTCCGAGCTGGGTGGGCTGGGTGGGCTGGACGGGCTCCTGGACAGGCAGGGGCTGCCCAGTGACCCCATGCCCTCTCCCCACAGAGCCTCCTGGGTGCCTTGGAGACCATCTGGCGGCAGCAGGGCCTGGCAGGGCTGTGGCGGGGCGTGGGGGGTGCCGTGCCCCGGGTCATGGTCGGCTCGGCCGCTCAGCTGGCCACCTTTGCCTCTGCCAAGGCCTGGGTGCAGGAGCAACAGGTGAGGATCTGGGGGCACCTCTGCCCGCCTCCACACACAGGAGTAGGAGGGCCTCCTGCCTTCTTTCTTCCTGTCTGTCCAGGTCTGCATCATACCACACATCTCCACCTGGACCCTACCCAGGGAAGCCGAGGGCATGGTGACAGACGGGGCACCTTAATAAAGCTGAGTGCCCCAGCTCTGCCCTCAGGCCATGACCCTGGCTTTGGGGTCCAGCAAGACTGGGGAGCCGGCAGTGAACCCTGAAGCTCAGGGGGGATGGGGTGGGGAGGGGAGTGGCGGGAGGAGCCTCCTCTGCTCCACATTCCCCAGGTCTTCCAGCCCCCAGGTGCTGAGAGGGTGGGATGACACCACGTGGGTGGGTGGAAGGCAGCTACGGGGGTCAGCAACCTGTATGTTCCCACAGTGGCTCCCGGAGGACAGCTGGCTGGTGGCCCTGGCCGGGGGCATGATCAGCAGCATAGCTGTGGTCGCTGTCATGACCCCCTTTGATGTGGTCAGCACGCGGCTGTATAATCAGCCAGTGGACGGAGCAGGCAGGGTAAGCAGGGGACAGAGTGGGGGAGGGTGGGTGCTGGCGAGCTCCCCCACCCACACACACACCCACACACACACCCAGGGCCAGGGACACACAGACGTGACCTACACGCACACACATTAATTCGGCTTGTTTGCTGAACACCCATGTCCCAAGCATGTATTCAGCATTTTCACGTCCGCATTTTAATTCTCTCCTCACAACCACCTTCATTTTCCTGATGAGACTGGGGCTCAGAGAGATCAAGTGACTGGCCCGAGGTCACACAGCTGCTAAGTGGAGGAACCTGAACTGGAATCCAGGCAGGCCTGACCCCACAGCCTCACTGACACACACGAGTCATCATATACACTGGTACAGAATGTGCCCAACACAAAGGTGCCCTCCACAAGCTGCGTTAGGGATGAAATCCACCTGCATGCCACTAGCCACGCAGAGCGCCTGTCCTGGGGCGGGGGCTGCCTGGAGGAAGCGGCTCCTTCTGAAGTTTCACAGCCCAAAGGGACACCCTTATGTGATTCTCTGGGGGGCAGTGCCTTTTCTGACGTACCACAAAGGCCTCACACAGACACACGCCATTGTGCCAGCCAGGGCCCCACAATGCCTGCAGTGATGTCCACCCTGTGTCTGTCCCCAGGGCAAGCTGTATGGCGGCCTCGCCGACTGCCTGGTGAAGATCTGGCGGCAGGAGGGCCCCCTGGCGCTCTACAAGGGTCTGGGCCCCGTCTACCTGCGCCTGGGCCCCCACACCGTCCTAAGCATGCTCTTCTGGGATGAACTCCGGAAATGGGCCTGGCGGGGCCACCACCAGGGCAGCTAGGCGGTGTCCTTCACCCTGACACAGCCGGCCACTTGGCAGGACGCGATGGCCCGCTGCAGCTGGGAATGGCTGTTCCAGAGCCAGCCCAGGCCCAGGCCCTGCCCCAGGTCCGGGGAGAGTGTGGTCAGACAGCTGTGGTCAGCCCAGCCCCTGGGCCCACCTAGGGCCAGCTGGAATCACCACCCACTCCGTTCTCCAGAGAGTGTTCATCCTTCTCTGTCCCAGGTTACCTTATCCCAGCGCCTTACCCGTCACAATAACCACTCCAAGATGTGAACAGTGCTGTGAGCTGGGTCACATACAATATCAACTTGCTTACACAGTAGGAGGTAGTAAAATTCTGTCACTGATGAGGAAGTGGAGGCTCAGAAAGGTGAAGTGCTCTGACCAAAGCCACGTAGCTTTGAAGGGTCAGAGCTGGAACTGGAACTCACCTCTGCCCACCCCTGACCTGTGCCCTTGGTGAGAGCCAGGACCAGGGGGGCCGGAGTGCCCTGAGGGATCACTGCACACAGGGGGAGGCCCTGGGGAGCACCGTGAGGCCATGGGGTCATTGTCTGTGCTCGTCTGCCAAGGCCACCATCACAGGGTTCCTCAGACTAGGCAGCTTAAACCACAGAATGTTCTTTTCTCACAGTTCTGGAAGCTACATGTCCAGGGGTCGGCAGGTTTGGTTTCCTCTGAGGCCTCCCTTCTTGGCATGTAGACACCTGTCTTCTCCCAAGGCCCCCATAAGTAAGGTCTTCCCTCTTTGTGTCTGGGTCCTAATCCCCTATTAAAGTGAAAGTGAAGTCGCTCAGTCGTATCCAACTCTTTGCGACCCTGTGGACCCTAGCCCACCAGGCTCCTCCGTCCATGGGATTCTCCAGGCAAGAATACTGGAGTGGGAATACCACTTGTATTGGATTAGGCCTCACACTAATGACCTCATATTAACTTAATTACTTTCTTAAAGACCCCATCTCCAAATACCGTCACCTTCTGAGGTTAGAACTTCCCTATATGAATCTGGGGTGTGGGAGGGGACACAACACACCCCCTCAAAACTAAGGGCTTTTACTGAGGGTCTCCTGGACGCCCAGCACTGTGGGCGTTTGCACAGATTCTCATGACAATTCTGAAAGGTAGCTCTTGACGTGCCCATTATTCAGATGAGCAGACTGAGGTCCCAGGAAAGGAAGCGAATTCCCCAAGGTAGTGAAGCTGAGTATCCTCATCCCAGACCCTGTCCTTTGTCCAAGCTGTGGCCACACTCCCCCCGTGGGCGTGTCCCTAAGGCACTGACCTCTGTGCTACAGAAGTAGGAGCTAAGTGCCTGAAGTGGCAGGACTGGCTGAGGTCAAGTGGCCTGAACTGCCTTCCCGGCCACACCCAATGGCTGCAAAGAGCTGCTCTCCAGGCACATACCTACTGCACACTCCAAACCAATAAAGTTTTCTATCTTGTCTACGTCAATGACTTTGCACTGCTGGCAGTCTCAGTCTCTGGACTCCCGAACCCCAACCCGTGGCTGGCTCTTCTGTCTGGGAAAGGAGGACCCAAAAGAACTGGGGCGGCCCCTCCCCTCAGGCCAAGCGAGGCCTGCCGCCTAGTGGGCGTGAGGAGAGTCGTCAGGGCGGGCGGCCCTGCGGTGCAGTGGGCGAGGGCCTGGAGCTGGATCCTGCCCCTGCCCCAGCCTACCCCCACCCCCAACGCCCCCAGCCCTCCCACCCCCGGCAGTGGGAGGAGAGACCCCTTCCAGGCCTCGGGCTGAGAAGGCGAAGCCTCAGGCTGTGGGGGGGTGGAAGCCCCCTTCCAGACCTTGGGCCGAGGGGGGAACCCCACACTCAGGCCGAGAGGGAGAACACATAACGGAGGCTGAGGAAGGACAGATGAGGCCTGGGGCTTCAGGAAGGCGCTGTGGGGCAAGGCCCAGAGGAGGATGAGAAAGTGGGCGCCAGACTCGAGCAGGACTGAGACCAGCCCACCAGAGATGCCCTCCACCCGATGCTGCCCAAATGGCAGGCGCCTGGGCAGCGGTCTTAACTCAGAACCCGGAAAGTTTAAAGCCCTGGCTCTCATCCCTTCCCCTCCCCTGGGCTTTTGACCCCTCCCGGCTCCTCCCCTCGCCTCCACCTTTGCCCGGTGGCTGTGACGTTGCGGTCTCTCCGGGGCAGACCTGGCCGGAGGCTGGGCTGGGTCCCCGCGGCCATGTTCTCCCTACTGTCCCCCACCTCCTGGCTCCCCAGCCTCCCCTCCCTCGACTGGGGCTCCGGCCTCCTCGAGGCCCTCCTGCAAGGTGAGCGCCTCCCCCTTGCCCCTCAACCCCGCCCCCTGCCGGACACCTGCTCAGTGCCCGGCGAGCCCACGCACGTGGAGTATCCCGCCGCCTTGCCTGCCGGCTCCTCTAACCCCACCACGCCGCCCACCCTCCCTACTGCCCCCACCAGGCCTCGTCGGGGCCTGCGCAGTCTCCATCCTGAACAACCTCCTGAAGGTCTATTTCTTCGTGGGCTGTGCCAAGTGAGTGCCCACCTCCCCGGCCTACTCCCTGCGCCCTGAAACCCGCACTGAGAAGAGGCCTCTGAGAGGGGGGCCGGGAGGAAGAGACCACCCCTCCCTACCCCAGGGAGTGGCTGGGAGCACCGGGACCCCCTCCAGGGACCAGGCTGGTGGTTCTGCACCCTCTGTCTGTCTCCTCTGCCCACGCCCCTGTCTGTCTCCACAGCCACCCGGATCTTCATCTTGAGAAGCAGAGGCTGCAGGCCCGGTGGGCGTCACTGGAGACTGTGCACCTCGCAGGGCTGGCCCTGATTCTGACCGTAGTGGGGGTCCGGGTGGCTGCCCTCGTAGTGCTCGAGTTCTCTCTCCGGGCTGTCTCCATGCTGCTTTCCCTGGACAAGGTGAGACCACAGGGAGGTGGTGGGTGAGGATGGCCTGGCCCTGGGCCCTAGTTTTCACCCCGGAATAAAAAAAATGGGAAAAACTGTGGTTGCCAAAGCCCAGTCTCCACTCAGAGTGGACACAGCCCCAGGCCGAGAAGATAACACAGCAGCTTGGGGATGTCTGGAGCTTCCCACCAGCCAGGCACCATGCTAGATGCTTTGGGCACATCATCTCATCCTTGTAATCACAGCGGGTAAAAGTTTACTGGGATCCCAGTTTCACATGTGGGAAACTAAGGCTCAGAGAGGCAGAGTGGCTTATCCATGGTCAACAACCAGCAAGAAGTAGAGTCAGGCTTTGAACCCAGTTCTTCAAGGCTCTGAGCCGCCACTCTTCAGCCAACAGACCAGTCCCAGGTAATAACCATGACTGAAATTAAGCTGAAAGAAATGATACAGTAATGAAACTTCCCTGGCGGTCCAGTGGCTAAGACTGTGTTTCCTATGCAGGGGGTGTGGTGAGTTTGATCCTTGGTCAGGGAACTAAAAATCACACATGCCTGCATGACCTGGCCAAAAAATAAATTTAAAAAGACAAAAGAGACAATCCCAGTAGGCTTGACCTGAAGGCAATATCTCCTCTTTGGGAACAATCCCTGAGGTTCCTTCAGGCTCCAGCCTCCTACAGAGTGGAGCATCGGTACCGTGACACCCTCTTGGTGCCCCCAGGGTGACGAGCGGCCTAAGCCCCCATCATTGTGCCTCCTCCCCAATCCAGGGCTCCCAGGGCACCCAGAAGCTGCAGCTGTACCTACTGTGCCAGTACTCGCTGGGCTGTGGGCTGACCTGCGGCCTGAGCTTCCTGCAGGAGGGAGCCCCGCACTGCACGCTGAACCTGATGCTGGCCCTGGGGCTGGCAGCGCTGCTCAGCACCGGCGCCCGGCGCCTCTGCCACCACGTCTGCCGGCTCTACGAGCTGCACCGCAGCCAGCGCGCCTGTGGGGTCTGCCTGGGCCTGCTGGCGGGCGCACACCACCTCCCCCGGCTGCTGGGCCGCACCCTGGCTGTGACCTTTATAGTGGGCAACCTGGCCGCCGTGGCCCTCATCAACCGAGACTTCCTGACCACCTCGGAGGCCGTGCGCTTCTGGACACCTCTCACCATCTGCTACACCCTGCTGGTCATCCACATGCAGGGTAAGCGCCACAGGCGGCAGCTGATTCACTGACACTCACACCCCACTGTCTGACCGGGCCCAATGCAATGCTAGGCCCTGGGGAGGACAACGACACTCAGATCCAGCCCCTGCCATCCCAGAGCACCCAGTCTGGTAGCAACAGCCATGCAGTGGACAGAGAAGGGTACAGGGTGCAGGGGGAGCCCAGTGAGACAGTTCTCAAATTGGGCCTCAAAGGATAAGCAGGAGCCCCTGGGAGAGATGAGCAGGGAAAGGAGATCATGACAGAGGGAACCATGTACACCAAAGCCCAGAGGTGATTCAAGGCCTGAAAGCAGTTGGTATGTTGTTGTCACCAGGGAGGGGACAAGGCTGGCAGGGTTCACAGGGAGGGCTGTCATCAGCCAAGTGAGGCAGTCTGTTCAGAAGCCCATTGCAGGGTTTTAAGCAGGGGCGAGTGAGCTGTTCGGATCCGGGCCTGAGGAGGAGCCACCTGGCTGCAGGGTAGGGATGGGGCCGAAGAGACAGGACAAGGAAGGGCAGTGAGGCAAACAGGGCAGAGATGCAGAGGCCCTGATGTGGGAATGAGCCTAGCACACTTGATGGACCACAGAAAACTGGGATGGCTGGAGGTAGCGAGCCTGAGATGAGGTTGGAGAGTGGACTCTGGTCAGATGGGGCAGGACCTCCTTGTAAGGGTAAGGAGTCTGGAGTTTATTCCAGGTGCAAGGGGACGTCCTGGGAGGATTATAAGCAGAGGAATGATTCCATCTTGTTAGTGTGTTTAGAAGGCTACTAGCTGCTGAGTACACGCTGAGTTGTGGGGTCCAGACTAGAAGCTGGGGGCCCAGTGAGAAAGCTGATTTGAGAGATGAAAGCAGAAAGAGACTGCAGGGCTCACTGATGGATCGGACGTGGGAATGCAGGAAAGAGAGGAGTCAAGACGACTCCAGGGCGAGACCCTGGCTGAGCAGTGAGGCCCGGGAGGAAGAAATGCCTGGTGCCCTGTAGTTGCAGAGCGGAGATGGGGCGGAGAGGAAGGGAAGGTGGCTGCCTGGGGAGGGAAAGGCTCGCACTGAGGAAAGCGGCGGGGGAGCTGGGAGGTCCAGGCCCCATCTCAGCTGGACCTCAGGGTGGGGCCGCGGGGATCGGGCAGGCGGCCAGTGACGGGGACCCTGTGTTTGTAGAGGAGCAGCGGCAGTGCCTCGGCCTGAAGAGCCATGTCCAGACCGTGCTGGTGCGCATGTGCGGTCTCTTCGTGCTGCTGCTGACCGTGGGCCGCTGGCTGGACCTCCTGGGCATCCTCGTCTCCCTGCTGGGCGAGCTCTGGTGCCTCGTGGGCATCCGTACCCTGCTTGATCTTTGCCAGATACAGGTGGGCACCCCCACCCTGAAGGTCCCCCAGACACTGAAGCCCTGCTCCAGACAGTCCCGGGAACCTTACCAAGTCAGGTGACCCCTCAGTAGCCCAGGTCACTAGGAATGGGGCAATTGAGGGGCACCCCCACCCCATCCATAGCCCATCCCATCCTGTGCCCCAGAGCCCCAAATGAGAGGAGCATCCTGGGAAATTGGAAGCCTGAGTGCCCCCACGGGATGGGGGGATTGAGTGGCACCTCCATCCTTTCCTCCCTGTCTCCCCTCAGGATTTTCCACCCCAGAGGCCTTTGGTGTCAGCTCCAAGCCAGCCCCAGCCCTCAGAGGAGAAAGCCACCTCCTGACTGACCTCGGCAAGGACTCGGAGTCTCTCAGGTCCACTCAGGTTCACCAGGAGGCCTTGACCCCAGGATACTGCCTGGAGGCAGAATGGCAAGGCTGCCCCCCACCTGGAGCACTGGGGATCTGTGGGAGGGGAGGGAGGATTTCGGACTGGGTCCCTGAGAGGGTGGGAGTACCTGGAGGCCACTGGGTTAACCTTTTTCTTTTCCTCAGGGTGGGGGAACAGATACAGGCCCCCTAGACCTGCCTTCCCAGGGGCATTGAGGGGACTTGTATCCCCATGATGGCTTCCCCCTTTTCCCACTCCCTGCCCTTTCCACAAACAATAAAGGTGACTTTCTCAGATTTTTCTTAGAATCATGAACATGCTGAGAGGTGAAGAGGCTTGTTCAAGGATACAGAGCTCTTCTGACTGGGGCAGGCTCCTGGGATGTGTGCCTAGCTGGCTTCCTGGGATTCAGGAATTTGATGTGGAGGTGGCTGAAGAGGTGACAGGGATGCAGTGGCATGGATGGGCAGATGGTCTAGGACCCCCTGGCTGTCTTGGGTGGAGGATGCCCAAGACATCCTGGTTGGGCATGTCCCATCCCAGGTTGAGAAACCTGGGAGGGGGTATGATGCTTGGGCCTCTGTTGATGCCCTTGGGTCCCCCACCTCTGACCCTTATATGGGGATCCTCCCTATCTCAGCTGTTTTCAGCCTTGTATCCCCCTCAGGGCCCAGCTCATGAAGGCCAAAGAGTATATGGAAGAAAAGTTAGGCACCAACAACTCTGTTTACCTGTTGTGTGGCCTTCGGTAGGCCACTGCCCCTCTCTGAACCTAGCAGAAGAACAACTATCATCTGTTGGGCACTGTGCTAAGCATCTTTATTATCTCATTTCATTTTAACGTCAGCCCCAAGAGGCAGGTACTGTTACTGCTTTTTATAGATTCAGAAACCAAGGCTCAGAGAGGTTAAGGAAATTACTCAAGGGAACACAGCTAGTTAGTGGCAAAGCCAGGATTTGAATTCGGGTAGCCTGACATCCAGAGTTTAAGTGCCATGCATGTTCCCTGTTCCTCACTTCTTGTAGAAGAATTGGGGCCAGGGAAGTTAACAGAGTTGGGCATAGTAAATATGGCAGGTCCATTCCTGGTAAATTCTGGAATGTGGCTCCCACCACTTTTTGTCCAAGTTAACCTGAGGCTGTATCATACCTATGATCTCCTGGTCCAGGTACCCAGCCCACAGGGCAGTTTGCATCCATGGGGATTGAGGGCCCCAACTCAGGGGTACTTTTCCAGGAGAGACCTTACAGGGCAAAGGAGACTCCCAGCCAAGGGACTCCCAAACAGGTTGTGAGGTTCCAGTTGTCTGGGAGAGGCAGGGGAAGCACCTGGGAGGAGGCGGGACCTGGAGAAGGTTCTTGGAGGATTCCAGGTTCTGATGGAACTTCTCAGCAAAGGCCACCATGAGGCCTTTGGTCACCCAAAGGCTACTGCTTTGGAGCAGACAGAGTCCAGCCTAGGATTCTACTCCCTGTCCTGGGTGCACTGGAGATCGAGGAACCGACTGGCCCCAGGCTGGACCAGCTCATTCCTTGAACTCAGAAGCTCGAGCCCAACTTCTGATCCCCTGCTCTCCATCCTGCTCCCAGGAGGCACACTGCAGACTCGGTAGCTGAGGTGGGGAAGTGCCTGTGGATGCCCCTCCCCCAGTACAGGACCCAGCCTCCGTCTGCCTGGGAAGGTGCTTGTTCCCTCTGGGCAGGAAACTTGCCCTAGTCTAGGAGGAAATGGGCCAGTCTAGGTGGGCACAGGGCCAGCCCCTCGCCAGACCCAGATTGGACAACTGGGTTCCAACTCGGGCCTGATGTTTTTCCTGGAAGGTTCCCCAGCCTCCCAGCCCCACACTCTGCCTGTGACCTGGTGGGAACAGGGCTGGGAGGAGACTGGGCTTGGCGACCCTTTCCTTTTTATGGGCACAGGGACTGTTTTCCAAACAAAAAGTGAGCCATGTGAGCTGAAAAAGGATTCTTTTCTTATCTATTAAATTATTTTTGTGAGAAGTCTGACATGGGTATAAAAATCAGATCATTCTACTGAGACATACCAAATAAAGAGAAATAGGCCTGAAGTCCGGAGGGCAGAAGAAATCCAGAAGGTATGATCTGGAACAGAAGCAGGAAGCTAAATTTGTTAGGCCCCAGACCACGAGATACCAGATCCTGGGCTCTGACCAGCATCCTCCTGAAGAGGTGGGAGAGCAGAGCCCCAGTTCCTGCTAAGAGGGGAAGGTAGCCTCTGGACCACCTGGGATTGGGGTAGGCCTGCCTCCTCGCTCCTAAGCAACACCCCTGCCAACCTGTGGCTTTTCTGAGCTATGGCATTGTCCCTCTGGCTGCCCCTTCATTCCTTTCACCATTACTGAACATCTGCATGGGGCAAGGCTCTGGGCCGGGAGCAAGATGCACAAGTAGAAAGTGCTGCAAAAAAAAAAAAAAAGGGAAAAAAAAGCTAGTAAGGGGATAGAATGATGGAGGGCTAGGGAAGATATATTTGGTATCAAAAGCTACGTAACAAATGATCCCCAAATTTAGCAGCTTAAAGAACAAACACTGGAACTTCTCTTGTGGGCTGTGGCTAAGACTCCATGCTTCCAATGCAGGGAACCAGGGTTCAAACCTTGGTAAGGGAACTAGATCTCACATGCCACAACAAGAGTTTGCATGCCACAACTAAAGACCCCTGCATGCCGTAACTAAGACCTGGTGCAGCCAAATAAATAGATAAAAATATTTAAAACAGGGAACTTCCCTGGTGGTCCAGTAGCTAAGACTGTGCTTCCAGTGCAAAGGGGCCTGGGTTCAATCCCTGGTCAGGGAACTAGTCATACAGGCCACATCGAAGATAGAAGATCACCTATGCCACAACTAAGACCTGAAGCAGCCAAATAAATAAATATTTAAAAAAATTTTTAAACAGAACAACAGACACTTACTGTCTCACTTTTTCTGTGGGTTGAGAATCCAGGTGCAGCTTGGCTGAATCTTCTGGCTCAGAGTCTCTCACTGGCCACAGTCCAGGTGTCGGCCAAGGCTGTGGTGTCTACTGGGGCAGCGTCTACTTCCAGGCTCACTTACTTGGTTGTTGACAGGATTCAGTTTCTCATGGGCTATTGGGCCAAGAGGCTCAGTTCCTCTCTGATGGTTGGCCAGAGTCTCCCTCTGCCACATGGGCCTCTCCACAGGGCAACCTACAACATGGCAGCCAGCTTCCCTTAGAGCAATCAAGTGAGGGAGACAGAAGACAGAGCAGGACAGAAGTCACCATCTTTGTAAACCAGTGTTAAAACCAACATCCCAGTGTTTTCGCTGTATTCTGTTGGTTAGAAGCAAGTGGCTGCGTTTAGCCCACTCTTGAAAAGAAGGGATTACTTGAGGTCATGGCAGAGGATAGGGGTCTTCAGGGGCTGTTTTAGAAGCTGCCTTCCCCAGAAGACTTCTTTGAGAAGACCTTCTTTGAGGAGGACTGGCCAAGAAGAGAGCTGAGGGAGGAACACCCCAGACTGAGAGAACAACACAGGGAAAGACCCTGAGGTGGGACCCAGCTGGGAGAATTTAGGAACAGCAGGAACTTTAGCATAGCTAGATCATCACAGGATGCAGTGGCAGGAAGGAGGTCAGTAGTGGCAGGAAGGAGGTCACGGAGGTGGGCAGGCACCAGATTGCTCAGGGCCAAGGCCAGCATTAGGACTTCATTCTCCTGTGACGAGCAGACAATGGAGGGTTTGCACACGGAGGTTACATTATCTGACTTACATTTTTAGAAGATTCCCCTCCATGCTCTTTTTAGAGTAGACCGTATAGAAACAGTCAACCAGCTTTTGAAACATTTGGAATAACCCAGGTGAGAGGCTGGAGGCTTGGGCCAAGGTGGTGGCCATGGAGGTGGCCAGACTGGTTGGATTCTGAACATGTTTTGAAAAGCTGATAAGATATTCTGGTCAATTAGATGTGAGCTTGAGAGGAAGCGAGGGGTCCTGGAATTCCTAGCTTTTGGGCCTGAACAGTGGGTGAATGAACTGGGGGCCTCTAGGGACAGGGCAGGGTTACCTCACGCAGGTGGGGTCGTCATCAATGGAAGATCCGGTGTTATGACATGGTCTGAGGTTTGGGGAGGCCCTGCTGAGAAAGAGCCACAGAAACCAAGTCCTGGAGGTTGAGGGGGAGTTTCAAGGCCACGGGGGTGGTAGTGTAGCCCAGGTAGGTCTTAAGACTTCTGAGTGGCTTGAGGGATGGAGGAGGGGTCAGTGTGGCAGAAGCAGAGGGGGCAAAGGGCACAGTGGTGGGAGATGCAGTCACGGAGGCAGGCTGGGGCCAGATCACCAGGACAGGGGAGGGGTCTGGCATTTCCCCAAGACCATCGGGAGCCACAGAAAGGGTGCGGGCCTGTGATGACCACATGCTGCTTTAGTGAGATGGCCTAGCCTGCTTGGAGATTAGATTGTAAGGAGTAAGAGCAGGGCAAATCCAGAACTTCCCTGGTGGTCCAGTGGTTAAGAATCCACCTTCCAACTCAGGGACAAGGGTTCAACCCCTGGTCAGGGAACTAAGATCTCATATGCAACTGAGCCTGGACACCACAGCTAAGACTCAACACAGCCAAATAAAGTAAACAAGAGCAGGGCTAATTCAATTTTAAGGGTTCCTTTTAGGAAGAAGAGTACAAAATTTGTATGTAAGTGAAAATTGAGGTTGAGAAAGAAAAGCAAAATAAATTACTGGAACTGTAGAGACTTGGGTCACTTCTCCTGACATCTCTCTGGGCATTTTGGCAGGAACACTTAAAAGGAAGATGTTTCCTGAGTGTAACCTAGCTGCCCTTCCCTCCTGGACCACTTCATAACTCCCAGAGACTGTCAGCTCTCACAGGGGCCATGCGAGTTAGGGAACTGAGCAGAAGTTTCATTAACTTCACAGTAAGCCTACCTCTGGGCTTCTCTGGTGGCTCAGTGGTAA